ATAAAGGTTATAATTAAACATTAAATTATCAACTACGAGTTTTCTTGTATATGTTTATTTGATACTTGTCAAAATGGCATTCTCTTGCTTTTCAAAACTGTAAGATATGTGACTTTAGGTAATTATATTGAAATTATTCCTAAATAATAAATATAATTGAATTTCCTTGTATCAAAATCTAATGTATACGAGTATTTCTATTTTGAAGTGCGGCCCTGGACTATTATTTATAAGGCTGAGGTGGCCCTCTGTAAAAGTTGAGTTTGACATGCCTGTCTTAGACATTCGGTAGTACTCGTTGGGCGGGTGATTAGCTCGTCACAAGGGGAGCCACGTTTACTATTTATGAATAATGAAAATGTAAAGTTGTCCCTGTGCTTAACTACTTAAGCACGACGCCATGAAGGCGTATAGGGGACTGGGTGTATAGATCCACATTTGCTTGACCTCGTAAGAAGCTGGAGGTGGTCAGCTTCACGCTTCTGTTGCTTTAACACAGGGAAAAGAGCCTCCAATTCTCATTGGATAGGAGGTTGACTTCAAGATGTGAAGAGAAAATTCTTGACACTACCGGGACTCGAACTACGACCTCCTCGGTCAGTACAGTCCGTAGCCAGACGCTATACCGACTACACTAATCAGGCTCCGTTTATGAATAGTATAACACGTACACACGTTAGAGTCAAGATAAGAACGTTGGGCTTAAAGTAAAGGAACACACAAGAAAGGACTTATTTCTCAGCGGCCACTAAATCAATTATGACCATATTACAGTACAAATAGCTTTAGCTGTGAAAAACAAACACACTCCTTGATTTTAGTCCGCAAACGAACTATACCGACCGAGCGACCGCCGCTTGTCGGCGAAGTTTAGTGCCAGGTTTGAGGATAGAGGGTGTCGCGTGGTAAGCGCAATGATTCCCCACTGCTGTTAATTTCGTTTTTCTAGACCGAAGCCGCTCTTTCCTTGAAATAGCTCCTCAATTATAGTCAAGAGGTTGAGTGGACCCCGTTCAAGACCCACCACTTCTCAGAAAAAGAATCTGGTAGCACCGAGAATCGAACCCGGACCTCTGGATCTGTAACCAGCAACGCTGACCAATAGACCACACAGGCGGTCCTTTAGCTGTGAAGCATCAGCTATATCTTCCTCATACTGGTCAATTCAGTATAAAGTACTTAATGCACTCTTCCATGGTGTCTGTGTGTGTGTGTGTGTGTGTGTGTGTGCATGTAAGAGAGACAGACAGAGAGATTGCATTAAGTCTGTCAGCAGCACGACAGAACACTGTGACAGAGACAAATCACCTGCATGAAGAGAATTACGATTTCGGTTAATTATTTTTCAGTCACGGACAGAGTCAGCAAAATGGGCTTTTAAGTCGCTTGCACGAAGTGCAACAGAATAAGCTCACAATACGCAGTTCCAAAAGAGGCGTTTTGTGTTTTACACTGAAAGCACGCATCGTAGTTTCAAGGTCGTAGTTTATGTCTCTTTGTGTGTACTGCCACGAACCTAAACGAATGTGGCTATTAATAAACGTTAAGCCTTGAAATTCGAAAAGTTTGTGTCCACTGATATTATCATTTCTCCACCGCGTCTGGTACCGTTCTTAGGCCATCAGACTCCCTATTCAATGGGCAACTGGCTCTCTGTCCAAGGGGGAAAAACGGCTTAAGCATGAAGCCAATGACTAACTTCTATCCATTCCAAATACTAAGAAATTTTGGACAAGAGTTCCAGCCTACAAATCTAGAGGTCCGGTTTCGATTCCCGGCGCTACTAGATTTTCTGAAAAGTAGTGTGTCTAGAACGGGGTCCACTCAGCCTCGTGAGGATCATTGAGGAGCTATTTCGAGGAAATAGCGGCTTCGGTCTACAAAACCGAGATTAACGGCAGTGATGATTCGTTGCGCTGACTACGTGACACCCTCTATCCGCTAAAGTTGGCATTAACTTCGCCGACAAGCGGCGATCGCTCGGTAGGTATAGTTCGCTTGCGGACTCACGTCACGGATATTGTTTTTTTTTTTTTGGTACAATCCTCAGCCTCATTTTTGTGCAATGTTCGAACATAAGGGTAAATTAAGACCCTTACAAAGGGGCAGTTCTCCGGCCGCGCCATAGCTTAAGCGGTTAGTTGGCTTCCTACCGCGGCGGCCCTGGTTCCATCCCGGGTCTGATCAAGTGGAATTTGTGATGGACAAAGTGGCGCTGGGGCAGGTTTTCTCCGAGTACTTCGGTTTCCCTTGCCAATCTTCATTCCACCAATTGCTCCACAATCACCCTCGCTTATCATCTGGGGCTGGTGCAATAGGCCAGAAGTGACCGCAATACAAGGGACTTAGTCCCACCCCATTGGCATTAATTAAAAAGGGGCAGTTCTACTCTAAGAGACTAATCTCATGCTTCCAGCCCACTGATGAAAATGAATACAATTTGTATCAGCGCTCAAGTTGTGCGGCAGAGTTGCATAAAACGCCAGACACTCATTACGCACAGCATATCGGAGAGTACAGTGGATAACACTATTGTGTCTAGGTTCTGATTACAGAATAATGAGCCCGTGTACAGCGGCTCAAAGCGAAGCACTAAAATGATTACATAAACAAAAGCAATTCAATGCACAATAATACAAAGATCAGCAGCTTTGTTGGTTACATTAAATACGTATTAAAATCAATGGTCGATTGCGAAGTGCCGTTTACTGTTAAGGTAACTAAGGAGTGTAGGTTGTAAAATACCCACGGTGCAATACAGTATGTCACATAAGAAATATCAAGAGATTCATTCATTTAACACGTAAGGCAGTGGATGTATAGATCCATATTTTCTTGACTTCAGCACTAGTTCGAGGTTAGTGGTCAGTTTCCGCCCCCTCCGCTTTGCCCCCGGGGAAATAATCCCCAGTACTCCTTGGATAGGAGGCTGGGTGGGCCCCAGAGTCGGTCTGGACGACGTGGAGAAGCGAAAAATCTTGACGCTATAGGGACTCGAACTCCGAGCCCCCTGTCGTCCATCCCGTAGCCAGTCGCTATACCGACTACGCTATCCGGGCTCACAATCAGTTCCCCACACGTCTTCATGGTTTAGTGCTTAATTAGTCAAGCACAGGGACTTTACCTTAAGGACGTGGTTATCTGAAGTCCTGGAAAAAGTTTCAAGCCCCACAATCTATGCTATATATATATATTTTTGTGTGTATGTGTGGTTTAGTTAACGACTGTACCAGGAACTAATATTCTACAGCGTAGAGTAATAGTGTAATAAGTGAATGCTGCAATTAAGATTGTGTACAAGGAAGTGTTAGTTACCTAACCTGAGATACTATTCTAAAATTTTCATGAAAGAGCTGGGGAAAGCCACGAACATCTCACTAGGGGAAGTCGGTGTCCGAGCCGAAACTTGAACACAGGACCTCCCGAATAAGAAGTAAGGCTAATCTTTCGACCGCGATTCGGTTTTGATTTGTAGTGGTTCACTTTAATGTACACTAAAGTACGTGGTAGAATCATTAATTTCGTGGATTGTGGTTTTATCGCATTATATTACAAGGTATTCACATACACTTACACAGATCCACATTGGCCCCCAAAATAGTTGCCGTTGGCCGCTATGCAAGTCTGCCAAGGTTGATATAGCTGCCGAAAACATTGCTGAAACATATTGACAGGAAATTCCCGTACGGCGTCTCTTGTGGCATTGACTACCTTCTCAGACGACTGAAATCTACGGCCACGTAGCCTTTTTTTTTAAAGCGGTGAAAGAGAAAGAAATCGCATGGTGCGAGATCAGGTGAGTACGGAGGGTGTGGCAAAGCGGTGACGTGTTCCCTTGCCAGTTCCTCTTGGACAAGAACAGGGCGATGTGCAGGGGCGTTGTCATGTAGGAACAGCCAATTCTTCCTACGCCAAATGTTTCGCTAAGGGATTTGTCTAATTTCTGGCAAAACTTGAGGTTTGCCCGTTGTTCAAACTGCCACATTTTCGATTTCTGCCACTCGCATTTAACTGCAGCTCACAATAAAGGCCGTAGTTCTGCTTACACTGTTTGCACACAGCTGCTTCTTGCTGTGAAGAGAGATGAACCGACAGGGCATCATATCGTGCTTCAACCTATCCTCTGTATTGCACTACAACGACTCTTTGAGGCCAGTCAACGAAATTATTGACTGTGGTAGTATGTATGGTAACGGTAGTTGAGCGGGCTAAGACATACACTCTCTTCGATTGCTCGAAGGTGGTTTCGAATCCCACTCAGGGCTTGGAGGTTCAGTGTTTGTGTATGCGTTTTCTGTGTTTGTGTACAGGTAGAGGCCTTGTGACGAGCTGATCACCCGCCCAAGGAGTCCTACCGAATGTCTAAGATCTAGTAAACCGAAGTGAAACGGAGAGTTTCATTGAGGTAGGCCAAGGCCCAAATTGGGGCCGTAACGCCAGAGGAAAAAATATATGTACACTGAGAAACACGTTGTAATTAACAACCGTTTAACTGTTGCTGTTTATGGACCTTGTTCTCGGAAATATGATACTGGGCAACCAGAGCAAAGTACAGTAGAGTAGTAGTAATCTTAATCTCGCTGAAATATTATTAAAATTATGAAAATTTAATAAATATAAATCATCAGTGTTTGTATTTTCTTAGCCAGGTCACTCAGTTCGGTCAGCGAAACTCTTCTGTTGCCTTACAGCAATGGAAAAGAGCGCCCTTTACCGTCGGCAACTAATCGGAACGGGCCTCAAATTCGGTGTGGATGAAGTAACAAAGAGAACAGTCGGTCTGTATAACCCAGAGACCTTACTGTTTCAGGCAGTTTTCTGAACAACGTATGCATCTAAATATTTAAATCGTTCTGGGAGAAAATAAAATACTTGTTCTAATTTTTCCACCAGATAATTTTGTTCTTTAATATCTGGAAAAAGGAGGGCCGCTTTTAGCCTGACATACGCCTGTGTCATACTCTAATCGTGCCTAATGTTAAGAAGATTTTCTTCTCCAGGGCTAAACATTCTATCGTGGAGAATCGGACGTCATATAAGGTGCACCTGAAGCTGACGGTCAACCAGTTAAGCAGGCGGGACTTGGGGGTCTACATGTGTGTGTCAACCAACTCGCTGGGCCATGCTGACGGCACAGTGAGGCTCTACGGTAAGTCTCCTCCTATATATTCTCTTAATGCTCGTGACTAGTTCCTTACTGGCGATAGAAATGTGAAGTTGCCCCTCTGTTTAGTTAATTAAGCACAAATCATTAAGACGCGCGGTTTGAAGATATTGTTTCTCCATGCTTAACCTCGGCACTAGATGGGAGTGGTCAGCTTCACACCCCTGAGGGAAGAGCCCCTTGTAGCTATTAGATGGGAGGCTGTGCGAGCCCCAAAGCCAGTCTGAATGTGTAGAGGAGAGAAAAATCTCTTTCCCCTGCCGGAAATCGAACCGGGGCGTTGAAGCCAAGAGCCCGTCGCCATACCGCCTGAACTATTCTAGTTCCCTTTCGTCCACACAGACATTTCATTACTTACTTCTTCCTTCTTGCTCGACAATAGTCGTTTCTTGCTTTGTATTCTCTTTTATTTGCCTTCCACAGATTAGGTTCAAACCTGTTTCNATGTGGTTTCTGCAATGTTAATAATGTACGTAACATCAAAATAACTTGTGAGTGACACGAAGCCATTAAATTGAACTACAAAAAAAACTCGCACGCCATGTCATAGTTATCGTTAGGGTTCCAAGTTACATGACACATGAATGGCAAGCACTGACGTAACATGGCTGACTGCGCATTCTGGTATGCGAGTGTATGCGGCTAGTGTGAGCGTCATCACCACACTCAAGGACAAACATTGATAAGACTTGTCAGCTGACTGGTACAGTGTGCGGACCCGCCAGAAGACCACACTTTTCTCGGGCCATTATCTCCGTAACCCTTCGAATTTGGACATAGGTGTTTTGGGTTATATTGGCATATTTTAACATAAGGAACACCCTGCCGAAGTCTGGCACATTCCACCTGGGACACTCTGTATATATATATATTCCTTTGCATGCAGCACAACCTTAGATACTCTGGCATGGTCAATGCATTCTTGCATGTTCGGGAATAAGAATTTCCCTCCCTCCCCTAAGCTACTTACGTATTTAGTTTTTCTTAGGAGCAGTCATTATAGCGACTGCATACTGGCTGAAGGACAGGGAGGTCGGAGTTCGAGTCCTGGTTGGGTCAAGAACTTTCAATTTTCCACGTCGTCCAGACCGGCTCTGGGGTTCACCCAGCCTCCTATTTAATGAGAACCGGAGGCTCTTTCCCCGAAATAAAGTGGCCAGGACACAAAGCTGAACACTCACCTCCAGCTAGTGTCGAGGTCAAGAAAATATGGATCTATACATTCACTGCCCCATACGCCTTCATGGTGCAGCGTTTATTTTGTTAAGCATAGGGACAACTTTACCTTTACTGTTTATGTGCATCCCTAGGAACGTCTTAAAACTTTCAGTTTTGCTGGTGGTGAGGTTCTTAAACAACCTTCATTCTTACATAAACGTATGGGAACTATAACTAGTTTCAACTTCTTCTCTTTCCTTGCTTTGAGTTCGAATATGCTTATGTCTTCAAATAATCCGTGATTCCAAAGTGTTTTATTTACTTAATAAGGAATCCTATTTCATACTTAGAGAAGTTAATTTCAGTCAGTACAGTGTCAAATCTTAGATCCTGACTAGCCGTATACTTCAAATTTCATGACAAGGACCCCATGACCTGTAGCAGTTCGAGAGAAGTGTGGGTAAAGGATTGTGTAGTGGGCACTATATGTAGCACGCACACGGGGGGAAAGTATACAAGAGAGATATGGAGGAAAACCTGAGAGACAGCAGCATCTGCAAGAGCTTAGAAAACAAATATGACACGGTGACATTGATGAAACCAGAGCGGAATGAGGCCCAATGGAAGAACTAACGTAGGCCTATGGATCCTAAGTAATTTATTGGCTTTTCATCAGCTGCAGTAGTTAGTTCCATTGAACGACATGAGAGAACGATCACATTCGGTAAATTTCAAATGACTACATATTAAATGGTTGTGGCCTATTTAAAGGTATTACGTTGGCATTCACCTGAAGAGACTAAGAAAATCTACGAAAACCCTGTCAGGATATCAGGCTTTAGGGTAGATATTTGAACTCAGGACCTCACGAATACGAATCAGGGATGTTATCCACTCGAAATCAAGTTAGCTCAAGTGTTAACGTTTCTTACCTGTATTCCGAAAATGCTAGGTTTTAACCTCTGTCGGGACACAGAATATCTTCACTGAGGTATTTTGTGGATTTCCTCAGGTCTTTCAGGTAAATTCTAAGATAGAAATAAACCAATACTAAACGCCGAAAATATCCTGTATTGTNCGGTTTTAACCTCGGTCGGGACACAGAATATCTTCACTGAGGTATTTTGTGGGTTTCCTCAGGTCTTTCAGGTAAATTCTAAGATAGATAGAAATAAACCAATACTAAACGCCGAAAATATCCTGTATTGTGCATTTCTTCAAGTCCGTTGTGTATGAAGTTATTGGAAATCTATTTACAGGGGAAAGTTTTATATGTTCAATATAGCTTAAAGTGTTTGTCTTTAAACGAAATATCTTCAGAACTGTACAAACACAATATATGACAATGTCCATGTTCCTTGGGCGGTCTAAGACGCTTTGAGTCAGGAAATAGCTTCTATATCAGAAGAAACAATAAGAAGGAAACACGAAGCGTCGTGACCTCTCAACTTTAAGAATTGAACATTAGCACTGAGGACAGAGGTCAAGAAAGAAAAGTTACCCGTTTATGTTGCCTACTCAGAAACTAAGTTTACTTATTCTAAAATCAAATTTCCTATATGACCAAATCGTACCTAAAAGTGTTCAATTCATCTGAAATATAAGCTTCTTTCACTTACTGAAATCTGAAAGTTTGATGGATTTGGCTAATAATTGGCAATAGAGCAAATGAGCTACTTTAATTGTCAGGGAGGTTCCTGTCTGGATTTTTATCCCAGAGGTTCGACAGTTTCACCGGACATTCTAAAAGATGAGTGACGGAAGAACTGTGAAGTTGCCTACTCAGAAACTAAGTTTACTTATTCTAAAATCAAATTTCCTATATGACCAAATCGTACCTAAAAGTGTTCAATTCATCTGAAATATAAGCTTCTTTCACTTATTGAAGTCTGAAAGTTTTGATGGATTTGGCTAATAACTGGCAATAGAGCAATGAGCTACTTTAATTGTCAGGGAGGTTCCTGTCTGGATTTTCATCCCAGAGTTTCGACAGTTTCACCGGCCATTCTAAAAGATGAGTGACGGAAGAACTGTGAAGTTGCCGACGGAAGTGGAAGTTGCCTACTTTAATCCTTGGAAGTCTATAGTTCATCTAAATAATTGATAAAAATGCAGTTCCCACCAAATGGCTAATGCAGTTTAGGGAAACAGTCGTTGCTTAATTTGAGAATCATATAACAAACAAACTCCGTGGCTTGAGTCGGTAAACGAACTATACCGACCGAGCGACCGCGGCTTTTCGGCGAAGTTAGTGCCAACTTTAGCGGAAAGAGGGTGACGCGTGGTACATACGAGTAAATACATCCTGTTAATACAATCCTGTGAACTTTGAAGTTTTTAGCACGTGGTATACATAGCACCCAAAGTGCGTTGAAGAGGTAAGGAACATTAGCAGGATTTAATGCAACCTACTTAGTCAAAACAGTTCCGCTAAATGAACTGAGATGACAGCAAATAATACTTCAAAATCACAGGCACAGAATGGTATAGACCGGAAGTCGATTCATGGGTTTTGTGAATTAGATTCAGAAAATATTGACAATGAGGTTACAATTTAGTTGTTACATCGAACTCGCGGCCTTGATTAGAAAACCTGCCCCAGCGTCACTTTGTCCACCACAAATCCCACTTGACCAGACCCAGGATCGAACCCGGGCAGCCGCGGTGGGAAGCCAGCGACTAACCGCTTGAGCTATGGCGCGGCCTTTTGACGAGAGCTTACTTATGTTAGAAATACTTCGTGAAATAGATGACGTACGTGCAAGCACATTAACTGCTGAATATTCGAAAGTAATTCTATATTCAGACGGAGCCAAGTGAAGGAAATATATTTCCGCAACACCGTAATACAAATCTGGTCAAATTCACTGAAGCTGAAATCCTCAAGAACAGATTGAACTCGTTCGTGTAACAGTAACTTGAATTTTAAAGCAAAAAGTTAAAATCTCGGCTGAGTCACAGGTGTAATAATTGGGTTTTATCGTGCTTTTATTCGGTCACTCCAGACTACTGCCTTCAATTATAGAACAATCTCCTACTTTCAGTTTTTATGTCATCTTCGCTGATTTTCGTCTTTCATTTTATTCTAAATTATTTAACTTCAACGGTTACAAAGGCGTTATTTAACAACACACGAATCAACTACAAGAAGCCGAAGACTGCGAACTTATTTTGTTCACATGTCGACGTCTGTCTCCGGAAAGTGAATACAGAAATAAAAAAAGAGCATCGGCTTGTGTTGCCAGGCGACGCACACAGGAACAAAGCGAGTGCCATCATTTTTCCTGAATGGGGTCGCGGTCGAGAGTCATTTGTTCAAAAACAAACTGGTGTGCCCGCCTGTTGCAAGAGAACAAAACGATGAAGAGACAGACTGAAGGCTCTTGTCTCAACGGGGACAAACTTGTTCTCCTGCATGAATGTTGTGCGTCCTCAGTTTATAATTAAGCATCTCATCAGGACAGCTCAGATTAATTAAGCGGTGCATTCAAACTTAAACACATCACTCCTATGCTGACTGGAAGAGGGAAGAACTGCATTAGGACTTTCAGTGTGGGTTGAACTAAATTTCTGCAACAATTTTAACCCATTTTATGCTAACTAATATCAGTGTAGAGTGAAAAATGTACATTTCTTCAACGACTTCTTTGGTTTGGGTAAAATATTGAGTGCATTAGTATGCAAGAATAATTTAACGTTATCACTGTTTTATTCAGTTTAATCAAAAGTGGCTTGCATGGGTTTAGAGTACTTGTACCTTCATACGATAACATGTTAAGACATTTATTTGTATGATAGTAGCGTTCTCCCTTTTTAAAATCTCTCTT